CGCAAGTGACCATTAATCTGATTTGATGGAAATAATGACGATGCTGAGTCTTTTGTTTCGCAGTAAAAATAATTATCTATAATAGTAAATCAGTAATGAGCTCAGTAACAAATAGTGGCAAGCGCGATCTTTTTTCGAATTCTACGTGGCGCGCGTTTCTATCGACGAACCGTCGATTGAAAATCAAACCGCAATATCGCAGCTCGCGTATCGGATCATCGAGGTTAAATTTGATGACGGAATTACTGCTATTCACGGAAACAGTGCATCGATGCGTGCTATTGTTCTCTTTGTGACACCACCAGAACAGAATCGAACTATTAAATATTAAAGAAAATCGATACTCTTGTGCAGACGGAGAGAAAGAGAGAGAGAGAGAGAGGGGGGGGGGTGAGATGGGAGAGAGTAATTCAGGATACCACCCTCACATTGGATAATTCGACGTGGGCGTGGAAAGCACGATAATATACTAAACAATAATAAACGCATGAACGTAACGCGCGATCAACTCAACGCTCTGTTAACGTTATATCGCGATGAAATAGATGCACTTCAGTTAGGTTTAACACATTTAGACACTACGCAACGCGAACTCGGAAAAGATAACGTCACTTACGTATGTTAGCCCACTCGATCAAAGTTGATGGGCACCTTGCGAGTACCGGAGGTACTCGGGGAACAATACACTTCCGGTGCGGCTGACAAAGACGCACGGCACGTACACCGGAGGTTCGGCATCGACGGGAGGAAGGCTGGAGAGGAGGACGTACGTTTGATTCCGTATAGAACGGTGCAATACATCTCTTCTCGGTTTACCGGTCGCTCGCTGAGACGGAAGTGTATCGTGCCCGACGAAGCGGGCACATCCGGCTTGCAAGATTAATTGCCAATAAACCTCTATTACAGAGACCTCTTCCCGCGCCGTCACTCTTCTCACGATATCGTGTCATTTCCCGGTCAATCGCTTCGTACGCAACAACGTCGATCGCCTCTACTTTTTCGAGATCCTTTGATGAGAATAACGAGATAACCTGGAAATTAGATTATTCAGTGTCACGCTTTTGCAATAGAGAAAAAAAGGACGTGCAAAAAAAAATGCGGCGAAAAATTATTGATCATATAAAAGATAATTTATGATAGAAACGATGTAACACAACTCAGAGACGCGCAATTTATTTCTCTCGGTTATAACGATTTACAGCGACCGTCACGATTATTCACGCAATACGAGCTGTCTCGAAACAAAATGCGCTGTCTCGCAAGAAGATTGATAATTTATTATCCTGAAGCGTCTATATTTATTCTACGTCTTGAAAATTTGGTTATTAGAAAGATTTGTACGGTAAAAGAAGATATACAAAAAGTGTGTATTTCCATTTCAATTTAAATGTTTTACATTTCAATCGACATAGTGTGAAAAACATTACTAACAAATTGTTAAAGGTATGCACGTGTTTTTAATTATGTGATGCATGACTTCGCGCTTGGAAATTGCGTTTATGTAAATGCGGTGACTATCTGAAAAATTTGACATAGAAAAATGATACCAGTTTGCGTGCTTAGAAGCTGCGTGATTATGCATGCAATAAATCTCGCTTCGAAATCGCCAAGTGAATGCTTAGGAACACGTGCGAATCGATCGTAGCCTATCTTGCACCTCCGCCTGGTAATCGAGGGAAATTGCTTTCATCTGAATTCAAAAGCATGTACGGGAGATCAAAGTTCTTACGTGCCGACGATGACGAAACGAACGGACGATGGTGCGAAGAACTTATCACGCGAGCGTCGATTAAAGTTTCCACCTTGCACCTGGTTTCATGAATTTCTCAACCATGATTGATCGTTCCGAAGCGCTTTCAAAATTGTCATCTTCGGTTCGAACATATTCTGAGCGAATGTTAATAAAGGATGACAAGTATAATATTACTGGCGTCTCATGAATAATTTTTGTATTAATCCGAACATTAGTTTTCTCTTCTTTTCGTATGTGAGATATAGATTCGTCGTGATTGACATAATATGCGTAATTTGGAAGCCGACAATATCTGAACTGTAAGAATGTACGGACGGAAAAGTTTACCGCTTATGAACATCGACAGAATCGATACCCATATCACGAAGGTATAGAGGAAAAAGAGGACGGCTGAATGAAAGAGAGGGTAAATTGATGGAACGCTCCGATTAAAAGCTAATGACATCGCGTTTCTACGCGAATGACGGCTTCAAAGGAAAGCTTTTTCTGAAGTTCGCTGGCTTGACAAACGATCGTAAGACCAACAAGAAACGATGTCTGGCGCGAACCATCTTAATGAAATGGTCTTAATTGAACCAATTGATTAATTTTCTGTATATTAAATATAAAAAATTATTTAATATGTAATATTTCTAATCGTTTATTATTGTTCAATATTTCTAATTTCATATATTTTTATTAATAAACAAGAGAGAGAAATATATGGACGATAATAAATATTGAATTAACAAATAAAAATAAAGGGATTAAATAATTTTAATAATTTATAAGTTAAGATATACATACATATACAAAATATAAGAAATAAATATCTTTTTATTATTATCTTTTTACTTTATAATTTATTCATTTATTGCTCTTATACAGGGTGTTTATAAACCTAAAGCACCATCTGATAATAACACATTTTCAAGTTATTTTGAGACTAAAATTTTAATATCAAAATATCGAGGCTATGATATTTTTTGAATTATAATTATTTAAAGTCAACAAATTATGCCGTCTAAAGTTTGCGCGTTCAGGAATGGTACAACGCAAAGTGCTAAAAGTAAGCTAATAGTTGCTCTTATTAAATTAATATCGATATAAATATTATATAAGCGAAAATAAAATTACTGATATTTCTAATTCTTGATATTTATTATGTTAAAAAAAATATTTAGCCTGGATATTATGATATTAAATTTTTGTCTCAAAATGACTTCAGGAATCTGCTATTAGCAGGTGATGCGTTAGATCTGGAATACCATGTATATGTTAAAAAAAAAAGAATAACATCGATCTCTGGCTTTATTATTGCTACTACTATTATTATTATCATCTATTAACTAGCGAACTACATGATGGAGGTCTAGTTCTGAAAAGCGGATATTTATTTGGACGAGTCTATGGAAGTCCATGAAAGTCCACAAATCTGAGAATATCCTTCCTAGATTTATAGCAATCTCTGTAATACCTGCAATTTCCAAAAAGAGTGGACGTGCGGGAATATGTCACTCTCTGTGCGACCGTTTTCTCGGGAAAATCCTGCTCTTTCATATAGCAGTACGTGCATCGCGCTTGACATATGCCACAAATTATTATTTTGACATTTCAGATCGCCCCTTATTCCTGCATCAGAAACTCCCAATTCCCGTGTCTCGCGAAATCATGATGCAAAAGCTTTCATCAATCATTTCAACAAAATGAAAATATAGATAACCGGCGACAAGAAAAATTATGCAGAAAAAGGACGCCCGCTCTGGAGCTGAGATACATTATTGTCTTCGCTTTTTTTCCGAGTTACATTGCGTTTTTCACTTCCCGACTGTCCAAGAGATGGATATTAATTAGCAAGTAGCAGTAACAATATACGTGCTCAAGCACGAAATAACAAAGGGATAAATGTCGTTAATCGTGGAACATTTAGAACAATTGCTGCACAGAATGTAGATTTTTCTATCGCCGAGGGAGCAATTAGAGAGTCTCTCTATATTTAAATTTTAATGCCAGCTCTCAGTACGTTTTGATGTACCATTTAGGGGAAACAGTGATTCGTTACAATACATTAAAAAGTCATATTACACTGACGGAATATATGTTATCAAAAATGACTAGCAGAGAAAATTTATTTAACCTGCGATGATATATAACGATCGCGATGTAATAGCGCACTCAGTTACTCGTATAAATCTTCATCGTATTTCCACCGTAATTTGTGATGTCTCTCTTATCTTTACACACAGATAAGTTCATGCTTTTGTATCAACCGTAATGTAATTTATTAGGAGAACGGGCTTAAAATCTCTTACATCTCGTGTCCTCTTGTTACTTATTCACTTTTCGGCTACCCGGTGAATAAAGCCGATGCTGTGGGTGTCGTTGCATCTGGCGCCAGGGACAATTAGAAGGGTGGCTCATGAGCCATTGGAATTAACACTCACAACGGCGGGTGAATATTTACCGGCGCGTTATGCGGCTCATAGTGTACGTGGGCTTGTTCAAGAGACAATAGACTTGCCGAGTAAGCCGTCCCGAGAAGCGCGATACACCGAGAATATCCTCGTCAAAGATCGTACAGACGCTTGCCGTAGAGATACTAGGGGAGAACGTTATATCGGTGATTATATCGGTAGATGCTGATAGTGAGAAAATGGAACCTCCATGTCAGCAACTGGAGGGTACCACTCCAGGCCTCATTGACCGACCTCTTCACTTCATGCCAAGAGGACAATACCGATCGCGAAAACTTGCCTTCATCGCGACAATCGAGCAGCCAATTTTCTTTGGAAAAAAGACGACGAACTCGTTCGTCAACTTCAAATGAACGTGACATTTATTTTAGAACAAAATCAAACAGATATAGCATATTAATCCTTCGAAATTGATACCAAAATCTTTAACACAGTTATTGACACTGAATGTGTAAGGCTTATTTAATTTCTGTTGATTATATATATAAAAAACATTAATTAACTTTAAGGAATCAAAGTGATATAACTTATGTAAAAAAAGAATAAATATTACGTATATTTTAATAAGAATAATTTAATATGAATCCAAATTTGCGGATGTAACATAAAGTGACAACAAAATTGAACCGTTCGACATTTTTTTTTTACAAAGAAATTTATAATTGAGTGAATTCAAAAGTTCTACTGTCAGAGCTCCGCAGGATTATAATTATAAAATATCAAGTATACTTATTATCAATTAAAATATTACTGTACTACTATGATCTAATGATAATGATTGTTGTTGATTTCAGATTGTTGACTTTTTGCTACTTAGCAGCATTGAATTGTTGGTTGTTGCTGTGTCCGGCTATACTCTCGCACGATTGGCAAATGGGATCTGTTCCTTTGGTTACGTCTTTTACGGATACCAGAAATCTCGCCACCTGTATATTCTTCGGCGGTTGCCTGGTTCTCACGTACAAAGCCTTTACGGATTTCGAGGTGAGTAAAATTTAATAATCGCAGATTACAATTAAATTATTATATTATTATATTATACAATTAAACGGAATATTTACATATGAATTGTGAGTAATGCACAAATATTCTTTCAAGCGTTGGAAATTCGCTTATTATATTTCCTTTGCGATATAATATTAATATAAATAAGCTTTAGTAGACTTTAGTAGTAAAGAGATTTAGCCCGGATCTGCAATAGATTTTTAAGTCTTAAGCCATAAGAAATGGACGCATCGCAATCGATTATTCTCCTCACATTCGACTATAATTGATCAATTTCTTAAGCTTAAGGCTTAAAACACTTAATGTAGATCCGGGAACTTACTGAAATTTACATAAATTCCTTTACTTATCGATCGATTAAAGAAAGTATTCTCTTCAAGAGGTATCGTTCGATTTGCCGTTGTTATCGGTCATCTGACGAGATCATAAAGTGAAATGACCATCAGTTATCATCTACGAAACGTCATCCTACCGTTAAATGTTTCAACCGTTGACCTAGCATAACATAAGAACTCAAGTACTACATAGTACTCGAGTACCTGTCGGCTATTGTCTACAGTGATGAAATTGTGCTTGGCTCGAGAGTCATAAAAGAAGTTTCGTAATAACTACATGACATAATAGTTTCAAGTCAAACGATAAAGCGCGTATCTCGTAAACTACTTTTGTCCTCTGTGTCTTTGGGATCATCCGTGACGGTCGTTGAGCCTTCAACATAATGACCTCTTTAAGGTTCGCTGTCTGTACGTCGATGGTCACTTTTCCTCAAAGAGGTCATATCTGTGCTTTTAATGTCATCTCACATGCTTGACTAACCGCCGGCGGTTACCTAGCTCTTCGCAGGCACGAAGTGGAAACAGATGTCTTCTTCTCAAATGAGGTCATCCTTATTCTTATGCATGTAGCGCATTTATGCGTGAAGGAAAAAATCTTTTTACAAATATAATTGCTTTTTATTGTCTCGTGTGTATATCTGGAAATTTTTTTTATTAGCGCAGTTAAATTTTGTAAATGTCTCAAAACTTATGTAAATTATATTTTTCCTTATCCCAACATGAGAGAGAGAACGTTAACTTTTACAATGTTTGTTTCAGAGAAAATCAAGATAAAGAAATTATATTTTATGTAGAAAGTCGGATAATGTTTTCCTAAGATTTTGTCTAATAGATTTATAATTATTAATGTAATATAAATCATTATCATCACATTAAATAAATTATTATTAGTAAATTGTTGGTAAATTTTAAGATAACAATACTTTATCCGTTATATATTTTGTTATAATTTCGATTCTATTAATTAGTAGAATTTAGACATGCGACTTTTATTTAAATGTTTTTATTAGAAGAAACATTTTTCATGATTAGGACATAATTATTTATAATTTTACCAACGACATTAAGAATGACCTAGTCGATGATCGAAATGTCTGTTTTTAATTGTAAGCACGTAGTAGCAATTAAGAACTTGTTGTTACTCTTAGCCCTTTTTTATTATACAAATTTTATTTCACTCAATTAAGCATCGTTTTTTGAATATTAATAATAATGCTTGCTTTCATATGTCAGAATTACATTTTTAATATCGATCGGTAACGTTATATATGTATCTACTCATTAAACAACCTAACATTATTTGTCGACATTTTGACATCAAAATAATGATATGACGTTTATTAAAATAATCTATGGTTCAATAATAATGTAAAATTAAAAAAAAAATAGAACTATTAAAATAATTTTAATTGATAAATAATTTATTATATAGTATTACATTCTTTAATTATTTGAAAAAAAAAATCGATGCAAAAAATTTTATTCACTATTATCTTAGTTTATTATTATTATGAGCTTGTATTCTTTTGTCATTTATATATTATTTGCAAATTTATTTTCGCTAATGTTGCAGCTTCTTTGTTATAAATTTTTCCTTCATATTATCATACTTTTTGCTTCTTATTATTCTTCAACTTTGATAATCTGTATATAATATATTTTTCTTAAAAATTTCTAATTTCCAAACACAATCTAAAAAATATCATAAAAATGGGACATATATATATGTTTAAAAGACATCTTAAAGACATCATAAGGATATTTTTTAGACAATGCGTCCTGGATAATTTACCTGGGATAATTTTATCTAAAATTATCTTTTTGCTTTTGAGAGAGATTATCGACAGATACTAATGATGCACTCGATATCCGTTCATTCAGTTCGATTTTTCAAGAAAATATATTATCTATTCATGATTCAACGTTCAAATTGGACGTTGGCGATATTTTTCATGAGTTTTATTTATTTATGTCTTCGATATCATTTTGAGATACTGCATCTGCGAATACCGTAGTATTTGTGATAGCTCCTTCATTGTTACTAACATTATTTTTACTTTGTTCTATTCGATCTTTTACTTTACTGGAGAATGTCGTTTCTATGGATTCTCGCTGAAGATTTGTATTATATAATATTCGTGTTCTGTCTATGGTTCTGTACGTGAATTGGATAACGATGCCGTTGTTACACCACTTTGACGTTTGTCTTTGATAACGCTGGTGCTCGTTTCTTTTTGCTGACATAGTTATATATTTCTAACATTTGCAAAGTTATTTTTCTATACATATCTATTTTGTTTATAATGCACGCTTCACAACTTGAATTAGACATTGAATTCTTTTATATAAAATCTTTGTACATCTTGTCGTACATTTTTAAAATTATTAAAAATCACGGAAATGACTGATTTTTATAAGTTTGCAATTTCTTTGTTTTTTTTAAAGATTATTTAAATTCTTTATTTTCGTCTGTGATTTTGTATAGGAAATTATGTCACTAAATCTCGCATTAATTTATCTTGAAATTTGTTTTAAACTTTTTAAACTGGAAGACATCGTCTTCACTGACATCGCGACGCTCGAAGAAACTTTCCAACTTTCTTTTATAATATCGCTAATACGTTCGTGTTCTGTACATAAGTTGAATGACGTTACCTCTCCCATAACTTTAGACATGCATTTCGCATTTTGTGGAGTTGGTTTTTTTCTGTCGACAACAGCATGCGAGTAATTATCTTGTCTTTCTTTCAAACATTTAAATTATTCTGTTGCGGTTATGATGTATCATTCTTCATGTCACTTTTCGTGTCACTTTTACGTTCACTTTTTTGCTATTTTTTTATGTATGACACTTGCTATGACGGCTATGATAGTTGCGTTAGTCAGGTTTATTATTATTTTTATGCTGACTGTGTTATGGAATTTACATGCATTGGAAATAATTGTTCTCAATTTTTTTTCACACCAGCGTTATTAATAAATTTCTCTCATTTTCCAAATTGTCCTTAATAATTAATTCTAATTCTATTATTTCTGAACTTATGATATTTTAATGTTTATATTTCTGCACTGCGATCGTCAATACCGATCACTTCTGTAAATGTATTGTATCAATGACTTTTTTCTTCAGTCTCATTAGTTTTTGGTTTTTATATAATATTTTCTTCACGAAGATTATCTGACGATACAATCCTAAAATATTCACACTTATTGTTAATTGAAGTCGCTGTATTTGTATTATTGATGGTAACTTCTTAATTTTTTTTCTTTTAATTCTGACTTTCCGTTTTTGTATTTATCGAATCATGTTTGATTGCGACTAAAGTGGTAGTTGAATATTGATATATCCGCTAATACTGTGAAGGACTTTCTGATTTCCCACTTTGAAATAGCGATGTATAGGCTGATAGCACATCAGCCAGTGAATGATTTTTAATTCCACTAAAACCCATTTCAATCTCCGTTGACGTTGCATCATATTATCTATTATAAGATGAGTCCTTCCTAGAATGTTATAGTTGTGTTCAATTTTCATTTTAACTGTGGCCGATCCATCATCGACTAATGGCAACGCAAATTATTTGTATGCTTGCTCCCTTTTTCATCAGATAAACTCAACGAGAATGACATCGCATTGTTGGCGGCACACTCTGATCTCTCAAGTGATAATGCTCGATATCCATCTTCACAGCTTTCGCTGTGAGAGACACGCTCATGGAAATTTTTGTTATTAACATGTTCCTTTTTTTTCCTAACTTTTCTCATCGATGTGAAATAAATAGTAAAGCATTGAACTCCATTGATGTTAAAATGTTTATTTTTATTCGTATATTTTTTATTCCTGTATACCCGTTTTATTTATTTATTTCCATATTTTTGACATGATGTAAATCAGTCGAAAGTGTTCAAGTATAAAATCCGTCAAATCTGTTGTTTTTGTATTTTAATCAAGATAATATACCTATTTATTAGAAGTAAAACGTTATCGATTTTCAAATTGATGTTCATATTCTCGTTTTATTTTTATATCCTCGTTTCCAACAAATTAGACTGCTGTTTTTTTCTCGCTGTCTAGATTTAGAATATTGAGCCCAATTTTGTCACAAAATATTTGTTGTTGAAATTTCCTCTCTGATGGCTGAGTGTAAAAATGATCGTATCTATCTTTCACGTTTTGTTTCAGGCTCGAATAATTTTCGTAATATAAATTTTCTTATATTTTTCTCCCTCGTTCCTATCTTGAATTTATACGTTCCGTGACATGAGAGGCATGAGATGCATAAGCTGTGGATGAATCTGCGTCTGTCCATTTTATGTGTTTCCATTTTGATATACCGTTTCCTGTCTTTTTACCTTCTGTTACACGAAAGTGCATACACTATGTATATACCTGTGAAGATGCATGTCCGGTATTCTCTTCACAGCGTCGTGGGATAACGATCCGTGCGTGTCGTGCGATATCGTAGGTTTATGAAGCATTCCATTTGTCTCGTAAACATGCTTCTCTCCCGAGGTAATCTGTAGTTTAGGCGCGATACATGTTTCTGATATTCCGATTTATGCAATAACTTCGTATACGACTATTCAGCATCTGTAGTATTGATCATTGGAATCAGATGGCGTATTAAATATTTATTCTGTGATATAATGAGCGGATACCGATGTATTAGTTTGAATTTCTTGATGCAGAAAAATAAGTGATTTTTTTCCGTTTCAAAACGTTTTGTTATTTTTACATGTCGTAATGGTCGATAAAATGAAAATACTGTGGATTTGACTAAAAATCAAATTAAACAAGACCAATTTGCTAAAACAAAATTAGTTATCAACAAACTTTTTTTATGCTGCTTTAGCAGCTCTTATTTTTGCTCAAATAATAAAAATATAATAAATAACAATTCGACTGTTCAAAGTTACAGCAATCTTTTTTCTCCGAATTTCAGTTATTTTTTGGGTAATTTAAGCGAATGTCTGGATATATTTGTACGGCTCTCTTAATTTGAAAGTCGTTATTTTTAGATATTTTCTTTTATTATTTACATGTGATTTAATCTGCATTTACGAGATTTGTATAGTTTAATTTATCACGATGCTGGATGGAAACTATTTAGATGAAATAATATTCTAACAGAAATAATAGGAGAAAAATAAAATTATTGAAAAAGCTTCATTTCTTTCTTCATTTCTTAATGAAACATAAAAAAACTGTTACTTGTCGCAGTATTTTTATACTCTTTCTAGCAAATGTGAAAAAAAAATTTTTTTTTACAAAGTTAAAATATCATTTTAAATTATCCTTTCATGTACGATTTGGTTTGGTTATTTGATTTTATTTATTTATATAAAATTTTTCCGATTATATGTATACTTTTCTTTACACTCTGAAATTCATCTTTTGGATAAGTCAATTAAGAAGCAGTTCAAGATATATCGTTTTAAATCATTACTCGTTATACATTTAAAACTTGCGAATGCATTTAAACATAATTTTACGAGTATACGAGTTGCGTAAAAGCAACATCAACTTACTTAAGTATAACATAAACTTTAATCGAGTACACTTATCCGGTAAAGATGAAGAAACTTATGTAACAGTTTGCTTGAAGAGATTTCGATGCAGTAGCGTCGGATTTAACGAGAATTTAAACTATATTTATCAACAAATGTCTGAAGTATGTGTCTTATATTCTTTTTTAGCAACAAAGGCATCCGCCTCTTGTTCTTGGTTGGATGTTCCTGGTGCTGCCGTTCCTACCTGCATCCAATCTTTTTGTCACTGTGGGTTTTGTCGTGGCAGAACGGGTTTTATATACACCAAGGTAATTTTATTAAAGTTTATATTTCACTTTTACAATTATTGCAACGGATGGTATAAATTCTCGATGTGATTTTACAGTGTTGGGTGGATTATTTTGGTCGTCTACGGCATGCAAGTGAGCTGGACCGCTGTACCACGACGGAAAAGCTGGATCACTACAGGCGTAGTTCTTCTATTCGTTTTAGGATGTTTCAGAACGGTTCTTCGGAATAACGATTGGACATCTAGAGAAACTTTAATCAAGTACGTGACAACGGATTTACGTATCTCATGTTTTATTAACCGTTCTAGAAGAGAAACTTCCTTGCTTTGAATAAAGTCTTCGTGCTAATAGCAAACATAAATAATCGTTCGTACATTGCACGCAATCATATCTGAGCCTCGCAATTACGACAAAAATGATTTTGTCACGCGAAGACCTCGTGGACATTTACGGGGAGTGTCTAGTTTTGACTTAACAAGGAGATTGGCATCGTGCCAGCGCGTGTGCGCGCGCGCGTGTGTGTGTGTGTGTGTGTGCGTGTGTACAACATATATATATATATTCAAAAATTGGGTACAAGCGCCGATTGCTTCTGTATAGAGACGCAAAACATAACTAACGTAGATATGAGATGACGAGGATGGTAAGGGTCATGTCGAGGTCAAGAGGATGGTCTCGTCTGACCTCAAATCGTCTTGTTTCAGAGCGGGACTGCGGTCTCTACCCTACAATGCCAAAATGCATTACAACTTCGCAAACTTCCTTAAAGACACGTCGCAGCCGAACCTTGCGGTTCACCATTATCAGTTGGCTCTCTGGTAAGTCAATTTCTCTTTCTCGCATCAGTATGAAAAATCTTCAGATATATGTTGGGACAAAAGTGATATTCATTTGCTCGCGGGAAAATACATACACTTAATTATGAACGTTTAAACGCTTTGATATGTTAATAATTGGGAGAATATATTTGAAGGCATTTTATCACAAATTATTATGTAATAATTATTTAAAACACAAAAATTACATTATTTTATATATATGATATGATGTGATATATATATTTTATATACACATTTTATACCTCACACTTTACTAATTTTATTTTTTACTAATTAATAAGAGTATTTCATCAGATTGTCTATTGACTATTGATTTTTGAAGTATTACCTTCATAAATGCTTCCTATTGTATTATATTTGAGTATGAATTTTCTTATTCGATTTTCTTTCTTTAATATGCTCTAAATATTACACTGTAAAATTGAATATATTTCGATACATATTTCTTTCATCAATTTATCATTTCCTGACAAATATTTTTTTGCGGTGACAGTCATCTATAAAATAAGCGATTTTCACATAAAAAATATAATTTCATATAAAAATACATTAAAATGTACAATATATAATAATGAAATCGATTTCGATATAATCAATAATTCAAACAATAAAATTTATCATTTTATATAACATCAAATTTTATGGAATTAGTACATTAACACTGTGTAATGTGAGAGCATAACGTTTTTCATAAAGATATTAATTATTATACATAATTATATTTACTTACAAGTTGTCAAATTCCAAAAGATTAATAAAAATAAACGTATCAACCATTATTTATAGCATTATTTATATATAATACATTAACTCGCCACAATTAAATAATTTAAACATGCAAGTCTCGCAAACCCGAATTATATTTTATGCAGACAATTACAGTCATATATTTTCTCAAAATAGGAAAAATTTTTAAGTACTTAAGTAAAAATATATTCTAAATACTATATTAAAAATTTTATTGATATACACAAATACATAATAGCAAAAATATATAAAATATTTTTATAACACATATACAGTAATTCATATTTCAAATCTTTTCAATAATTGTAACATGTATGTTAAGTTGTCGCTGTTAAAAATTTTAGTATCAAAAAAGAAGTAGGTCAAATATTACGAGGAATTTTTTACGTAAATACACAAGATAGATATTTTGATTACAAATACAGTTTACTAAAATAAACAGAATTACGTGAAAAGTGATTTTCGAGGCGCTACACTGTTAAATTCGTAACGTCAAATTATATTCCATTCGAATTATTTTTTTATTATATCTGTAGGTCACTGCTTCTATTCAATGTATTGTTAATTTAACTAAAATAATGAAATTAAATAATTTAATTGAAGAAAATGTATTAAATTTGACTCAAATTTAGTTTATTTATTAAATGCACGTTATAATTAAAGGACGTGATTTACTTTGAAACTAACCATAAAAATAAATCGATTTTGATACACATGGAAGTTAAAAATATTAAAGTATTATTTTTAATTTAAGGAATTGGATTACCATTGCTTTTTTAATATTCTAACAGTGTAGATTCGTCTGATGATTATTTGAATAACAAGTCACATGATCTTGAAAAAAATGTCCTGTTGTTATTGTTTTATGTTTGATGAATATGCTAAATTAAATTATATTTCTGAGAATAATTTTAATTAATTTAATTACTAAGTCATTTACGTAACGTGTACACTTCGTATATTTTTAATACGTGTTTGGTGATATTTCTGAACAATTTGTATAGCTATTTTAAATATTCTATTCCATAAATCATTTTGAAATTTTCTGTTATTTTACTATCTGTTGCGAATAATTGCTTTAAAAAAGATTTGTAATTATCAATTGATATTCTGTAGAAAATCTTCCGTTTATTCCATATTGTACTTACGTATCAATTTTGACAAAAATTATGGATGAGTGGAGATCAAACACGTATTCATGAATATGAATGTTGTTTATGTAAAAGAATGTGTTGTTACGGTACACATACGCCTGTATTCTGTACGATTTTATAACTTTTATAGAGAATATCGCTATGAAAGGGCAGAAAAAGTAATTAAGAAGATTTATTTATAAATTTCAGCATTACTGAGGAATTTTAATCAACTTTCGGCTTCATATCGTCTGTAACTTTGTAATAATTCTTTCATCTTTGGAATAGATATATAGACGGTAAAATTAATGCATAAATTCAACGGCACAATATAATTGCAAATCCATAATTTGCATTTTTTTAACCACACCCGCCAATGCTTGTTTTTTACTTCAGAGTTTTCACAATTTCCATGAAATAATGTTATCACAGAAATCTTTCGAAATAATCACATTTATATTGCATTATGCTATTTTATTTCATCTCCATCTTTACTTTTTTACTATTACGATCTATTTTCACTTACTTAATATGTATTCCTTCGTGCATAACATGACAGAACAGACGGAATATTATGCAAGAGTAGTCGACGTAATACAATCTTATTACCACATGCAGACTCTTCTCTCTGCTTCAACCACCCTTTTCTACATCGCATTTCTCGTGCATAGCATGAGCAGGGTCGCAGCAAACCGACAAAAGTGCATTAATTAGCCGTAGCTCGACTGCGCTCGAAATGAAGTGGTAACCAGTCATTCGTTTTTTTTTTATTTCGTTTCTCTCCCCCCTTTTTTTTCTGCAACCTCTCTACATCTCTTCCTATGTTCCTATCTGCGCGTTTTTTACCCCACCTGTGTTTCGTGAATTTCGTTATCTCGTCCAGCACAAGAAATGCTCGACAAGGATAATAGCGGTGTAAAAAATAATGGTCTCTGTTGAAAAAATAAATGTGTTCTCATTTTAAACTTCTGTGTACTTTCGTGATGTGTCATGTGATTCATCATCAGGCAATCGTCCGCGGTGTACCCATAAATCGGATCCCCGTTCTTTATACACGCGAGCACTACGTGCATTTCGCAACGTCACACTTGGATTGTTTTATCGTAATATCAGATTATTTGTCTACGCGAATGCAATCAGTCCGGTAAACATATCGAGAGAATGGTGATGTGGCGCAGGAAAAAGCAAAGGATAGATGAAGAGGGGGAGGGGGATGAAGAGGGAGAGAATTGGTCGGCACGACAGCAGCTGCAGCCGCTGCGTTGCAGAACGACTGCTGGGGATGAAAATTGCATTTCGGCGTTATACCCGCGCTCGTCCAGTTCGCTCACTTGTAGATCTCATTTCCTACGCTGAGCTTTCTATTTCCCTCTCCTTCTTTACTCTGGCTCCTCTTTTCCGTTACCATCTCTCTACATCGCGTTCTGTGGATCGACTATTATTGGCTCTGAAAAATCGAATCTTCAACTAACTGGCAATTTCCTCCGCTTGTTTTGTGCACCAAATCATTCGCTGTTTCAGTTGACGCATAACGCGACGCGGTGTGAGACGTAGATTGGAAAAAGACTGCCTTTCTTCTCGTTTACCTCCTCCTTGAAACAACATTTTACGGCAGCATCGCCTGCGTGCGATTTCATAAAACTCCGCTCGAGAAGAATGGCTCGATCCTTCTCGTGCATCTCGCGTTTCTACCGTCTCGCTGCGTCTCGTTCATTGCCTCCAACATTCCGCTTTAGTTTTGATCCTCGCGCGACGAATTAGTTTTCGATCTGTCGTACGAAATTTCCCCGAGGAGAGTCACGACAAAGTTTCTACTCCCTCCGGAATATCGCGCCGAGTAAGTAATTTAAAGTAGCCTGAGATTGACCTGGTCCGTGCACGAGTAATAATTGAGCGTCACCGGAAGAACATAGAGTTCTCCCGAGGTGTTCACTCCAAGGCCTTTCGCTCCCGCGCCTCTTTCTCTCTTTTTCTCTCTGTAGCGCTTATTGCATTTGTGGAAAGAATGGCGCGAGGTGTCTAGAGAATTATGAGCGAAAAATAGAAAGAAAGATGCGGAATGAAATGAGAAGGAAGAGACGAGCATATTCGATCGATGGAACGTCAAATCGAAAAAGACGCGACTTTTCTGTTTGCTTTTCATTCACCGAGAAAAGCAGACCGCGTATCGTGAAAATGCATTTCTTCGCTCTCTTTCATTCGTTTCTCTTCTCTCTTTCGGATTATTTTGGTACATAATCGCGTTACTTCTCAGCGTTCCACTTTTTTCGTTCTCTTGATCGATAGCCGTGAATACTAGAACTTCACGATTTGCTGCTTTTTTTATGTTAACAGATCTATTTTATTGTACAATTTTGCATTTTTTGCATTTTTTGCATTTTTGCATTTTTTGTGAGTGCATAAAAAATATAATCTTTGTGAACTCTTAATCTTTTATCTCAATAATAATGTATGTGCGCGCGCGTATTTATAATTAAAAATATATTTTTATTTTCTCTTTTATTATCTGATTTCTTAAATCAGTTTTTACCTTTTATATTTAACTTTTAATTTAACTTTTAATTTAATTTGTGTTTTAGTTTCAATTTTATTACTCTTTCATGTTTAGGTTGTTAGATAGTAAATTATCGATGCTTCATATTTTATTTGTGCATCTCTCATCTTATTTTGTATTTCGTTATATATTTTTGTTATAATATAGTATTGGTTATCAATAAAGTTATTATTATTATTTCTTTTGTATGTAAAAGAAAATCCAGAGTGGAATTTATAAATAAACAAATCCTTTATATTCTCACCCTTTGAATTTAAAAAAAAATATATTACTCTGCGTAAAAAGAGATAAAATATTTATTCGAATAATTGCAATGGAAATTTGGCCGCTTAAAAGTACATCAGCTTTAAAAATTTTCGGTTATAGTCGATATCATTATTTATGATTTGCGACAAAACCAGCATCGCGATACGCGCCATTTTCAGATGATGCATTGTTGCTGGATCGTAGATACCGGTCCTGAACGAGATATATAAACCATCAGAATTTTACACGGACATTATACAGCCGTATATTTACGATAATGCATTATTTGATTGCAGTTT